AACAATGTTTTTCGTAACCATTATGTTGGTCTGATTTAAGAGCGAGTTCGTCAATTCAGATTTATTTATCTATTTTTTCCTAGACAGTCCCATCTAAAATATAATTCAAAAAATTTCTGCCGAAACGAGTTAGTTAAAGAATTCTACAATGAGAATATATATTGAGTTTAGAAAATTTGTTTTAATGAGTATTATAGGGGCGATTTAACCAGGGCCGTAACTAGCTCAGAGCAACGAGGGCGGCGGGAAGTGTTCTCAGGGGGGTGGGGGCGAAACATTTTGCAGGGGAGGAGGGCGCCCCCTCCCGCCTATAGTTACGGACCTGGATTTAACAACAGAGAAATCCCTGTTTTTGTTTGATAGGATGGTATAACACCCATCCTTACATATTCATGTCTCTGTATGTGCTTCATAATTTTGTTTCAGGTTTATATTGAAGAATTGCAAATGGAAGAAGATACGGTAGAAAGTAATAAACGTAGCCTTCAGAAATCACAAAATTTGAAGTCATGTACAATTTCTTGCTCTGAATTTCTGTTCATTTTTAATGTTTTTTGTAAATTCATGACTGAAAAATTACTTGTTTTACAGATTATTTTGTTTATATTTAACCAAAATGTTATGTTAAAGAACAGAAAATCTTCTGGCAGCAAATTTACCAGATCGTTTTCCTGTAATTTTACAGAGTCGTACTATTGTGACTTAACAGAAATAATTATATTAAAGAACAGAAAATCTTCTGGCAGCAGATTTACCAGATTTGTTTTTCTGTAATTTTACAGAAACATGCTATTGTGACTTAACAGAAATTTTCTGTTAAAAAACAAACAGAATAAAAATTACAGAAAAAAATCTGGTAAATCTGCTGCCAGAACATTTCTGTTTTTTTAACAGAATTATTTCTTACAGTGTATGGTTCTGAAGTATGGGGTTATTTCGAGTATCCAAATATTGAACTAGTGTACCATAAATTTTATAAGAGACTTCTACATGTCAACTCAAACACCCCCAGTATAGCAGTCTATGATGAACTAGGGAGGCATCCTATTCATGTCACCCTTAAGTATAAAATGATTAAATATTCGCTAACAATAACCCGGTTGTCTGTTGATAGATACCCTAACGCATGCTATAAACTTCTGTGAGACGTACAATTTGCATTGTATAGGCCGCATAACGTGGGCGACACATATCGAAGTGTTTCTATTTAAGTTGGGACTATAACACGCCTCGTTAAAGCAAAGTGTTGGTAGCATTTCCTGTTTTTAAGTTTAGTATTAACACAAATTATTAATAGATAGCTTGTTGTGGAGTATTTACAATGACTTGATCAGATTTTAATAATCACAACACCCTAAAAACATAAAATTTGATTGGTATTATAAACGAAAAATGTTGATATGTGCATGTTGATGTAAGTGATTCCACTTAAATACGAAAACCCTTGGAACAAAGACTGCGTAAATCATCAATGGTCCCCTTGAAGCCGACTGCTTAAATGAGTAAGTAGTATTTACACTAGATGCTATAGTGATTTGGAAAAGCAGGATTTGAACTATTAAGTGCATTGAATTTCAATAACAGCAACCCTGAAAAGCAAAATATTAGCCAGTTATTAAACATACATCATGCAAGAGTTAAATCTGCCAATTGCAGATCTTTTTTTATGTCTGAATTTTATCTAAATTATTAATTGGACATTAATTAACTTATCCAGACCATAATCAACTAGCCTGTGATATTTACTGGATTAGAACCCGCTCTACTGCTTCTGATTAAATCAAAAAATGGATAATCGAGAATATAATGGCGAGAATCTTTAGAAACATATGCGCTGGAATTATCAATGAAAATTTAGTACCGGAAAACATCGAAATATGTACTTATATTGCTAGAATTTTTGCTCTTGAAATTAATGATGGCATTGTATTGTATTAATTAATATCTTTGGCAAGTTATTAGATTTACATATGTGTACTTAAATCAAAATGAATGGCAGATGGGTATATAAAAAAGGGTTATAGAACCAAAACACGTGATTGGAAATTTACTAATTGCATCATTTGGCTTGAGTAACCAATCATATCAGTATTTGCACAGGTTCAGGGTCAGGAATAGCCTAGTCTGTGCGTGATGTCCACAGGTCCTATAAAAGAAATCATGGCAAATTTTTAAGGCAGATTTTAATTAAATTCCGGAGAGATTACCATCTAAGTTCTTAGACCATATTATGTAGCAGTTTCTATCAGGGCGAGTCTGGCTGGATGAGGTTTAGCAGAATGACTTTATTCTATTATGCATTGTATCTATGTAGCCGGCTATGATATATAAAATGTAAAAACGAACTGTTGCATTGTTATTCCTGATAAGACAAACGCCTTAACTAACTGAGAAATCAGTAAGAAGTAAATACACAACGTGAAGGGGAAGCAAAGACAACAAGTGAAAATACTAGACGATCACAGGGCTACTAAAATATGTAGTAAGAAAAGATGTTTGGGTCATACGTAGGATGTGGCGACCGGATTTGGTGACCCGCTCTCCACATCTGACAGACAGGCTCATGGTGCTACAAATACACATATAAAAAACACTTAAAACAACCCATTAACCACCTGTAATTAGATTAATCTAACTCAAGGGGTTAATAATTAAATATATAATGAATTGAATGAAATGATCTATGCGCGTGCTGACAAAAGTTCTTATACAAGGATATGTTGAGTTAGCTTCCCTGAACACGTACCCAGGGTGGAAACATCTCGGTCAAGACAGAGTCTGAACACCGAATTTAATATAGTATTATTGTGTAGAATAATTTACCAATATGTATGCGAGACATCATCAGGTTTAATAAAACAATTTGGAAAGCGATAATATGTCAAGAAACAGGATAACGAACAGCTGTGGTAGTTTACTTGATTCCTGATACGTTAACTGGAAACCGGAAATGATAGGAAATCGAATGTAAAGCTATGTTTGTCGTATTACGAGATACACGAGACAAAACACTATATCAATGGTTTGATAATAATGCCCAATAGCACTTCCCTTTTCATCCCAATCTACCTTGTGTATTAGAAATGAAATTAAATGAAATGAAATGGGGTTTAATGTCCTACTGTTCGGCTCCGAACTGGACTAATGAAGACAGGCATACGCTATACAGTGTGCTATGGGGGAAATTTTGTCCGGACAGCGGCACTACGGCCTACTCATATCGAATTCCAACTGTCAAGGAATCTTTTACGTGCACAGAACCTCGGTTTTTCGTCCCATTTGAAAGACTAGACAGCTGTCCTTGTCAGGCCCTTCGTCCTGCATCACTGACAAGGGGGAACCACGACGGAAAATCTGGATGAACTTTCTCGACCAATGCAGGGATCGAACACCCGACCTCCAGGCTAGCTAGCCAGCGTCCTACCCACTTAGCCACCGTGACCCCCTTGTGTATTAGATAGTCTCGTTAGAATTTTACCAATATTTCGTTTCGTTATATATTTCGGTTTACCCTGAGCAACCGAATAAGCGGAACGAAACTAAGACTTAATTTAGATTTATTTGTGTAGTTTGAGAGAAAATTACCCGTTAATTTTTGTTTTGTACACTGACAATTAGCAATCGTATATAGTACACTTTTAAAAAAAATGAACTAGGGCTTAACGTCCCACTGGTCTGTTCCGACAGGGCTAATGGAGACGGTCATACGCCATTTTACCGGACAGCGGCTCTACGACCTACTGTTATATCGAATTCCAATTGCCAAGTGGGAGGAAACCGGAGGACCCGGTGAAAACCCACGAGGTTGGATGTATTCTTTGGACAAGATGTACTATTTCATCACTTAAAGATGCATTTAGATAAAGAGTTCACAGTTCTTGTTATAATAGTTCAAAAATAAATAATGAAAAGTGAATATGTTAAAATTTTCAGTCAGATTACTTAATTTTGAGCTGTTAGGGCTGTTTAGAGTCTTGAGTGTCATTGCTACCGTTGTTACCATAGTAAACAAAGTCTCGATTATCCATTTTTAAATTAAATCAGTCACTGCTAATCGTTTTTAAATCGGTTGAACATCAAAAGCATCCGATAGCTTAGAGAGTTGGTTATGGCCTGGCCATGTTAATAAATATATAATTAATAATTTATATAACATTTATGGCCTAAATAAAGACCTGCAGATTTAGCTGTTGAATAATGGCTATTTAATCACCGCTAATATATACCCAAATTGATTATTAACATTCAGTTATCAAGAAAACAAGACCAAAATAAACCGAAGGTAGATAATCTCTCAGCTTGGAATTAATCGGATTAATGCAAGTCTTTGTATATATGGAATCAAACCTTATTTGGACTGATATTCCACTTAGAGATTAAGATTTAAATTTCTTTACTGACTGATGACAAGCGGCTTTCAAAGACGAAATCCTACAAGATACTCGTACGTTTACTCTCTGCTTCAAAGACATAATAGGCCTATATACAGAACATCCATTTTGGTTTTGTTCAAGAAAGCCGTTTGATTACGTCAGTGTTAGTTAGCAAAACATTCTTCGGATAGTATTTTAATAGAGTATTAAAATGACCAATCTTTATTACGAAAAAGAGCAAATACAAAAGCTGTGGCGCCGTTCGACCAAACTTCTCTCCCCGCCCATCCCACACACGCCAACGCATATCTATTACTTATTGTCACAATTTCCTTGTAATAACCCTAAAACTTCAAAAACACGCCCACGACATTCATGTGATCACCCGCGAGATTTCATTCATCTGAATGAAGGCGTAAAATATGTCGCGTGGATATCCGTTGTAAACAACAATAAATAAATTACGTCAAACCATACAGTTACCAATTCCAATGCCACATGTCTTCTGATAATCAAATTGTATAATACTTGTAATTTAGAATTTCGCCATGACTGTGACATCTCCATGGTAACACGATCTCTAGATAGAGGTAGGAAGAGAGGTTTAATTATTCGCTTTGCTTCCGTTTGATTATTTGCTCAAGTTTTGTCTGTAGCGATCAGTGATGCTATTAGTGTCTTTATGTGTAGTAATGTTCAACCCTTGATAGTATAGATCTGTTATAATACAACCATTCGTCATTTCCACTCTTAATACACAATACGGTGACAGTGGAGAGAACACAATACGTTAAGCAACCTGCACGGGACGACGGCGCTTCATTCCTACTCTAGATCGGAACCGTTGCCTTTATAGGGAAACTATTAGGAAACTAAGGAAGGACTTTATTTCGGGAAGTAAACCTACACTTAAAAGGTATGTAAAAAAAAAAACGAAAGAAGGCGCAAAACTTTTAAAGCATTTTTAATCTGTAATACTATAATTTGGTTCTTCTAATTTGATAAAGTTTTCTTTACTTGGGGAGTAAATAAAAATTTGAAATTCAATAGGACAATCCCAACTATATTAATTCAGAAAAACGAAAAAGAAAGAAGAGTAAGATAGAAGAAATTAAAAGATGTAATTGTGCACTTTTTAAAAAAAAAAAAGTACACCGTTTTTTTTTCTTACAGGTAGTAATGTACAAAATGTTGAGCGATAATTTTGCGAACAATTTAACATTATAACTTTTATAACATCACTAAAATTTATTATATAGTCTTAATATGTTATATTTGAATAGCCATGTTGTATAATCTGGCATGATTTGAATAAAAACCAACACTAGTTTACCATATTCAGGTAAAAATCTACTCTCAAGCATAAAACCTACTTTTAGTCCTTTGATGTGATAGAATATTTATACCAATATGTGTGACTGTCATTTGTTTGTCTGTCTGTCTGTTCAGGGCTTGCGGCTACACTAAGGCTGTCCTTAGGCTAGGAGGCGTTGGCCTACCGCTTCCGGTTTCGGAGTTACGGGCACAACCCGGACAGCGCCGGATAGTCCGCTATTATTATTACTATTAATAACCTCATCTTCACTTTTGAGAGCCTTTTTGTTTTATTCTAGGAGGATCGTTTTTTTTTTCATCTGTTTAATATTTTCACTATCTGCATAAAAATATCTAAAAGGCCTACGCATTCCCCGCACTTTTAGATAAACCATACGTGCTTTATTTTAGTTTTACGTTAAGAGATTTGATCATTACTGAAGAGTGATCGTGATCACTACAATAATACCATGGCGAATTTACCGTGTCTTTTTTCGTTTTAAAAGAAAACCCAATACAATTCACCGTGGCTTAAGTCTATGAAAATACAAAGAATAGATTTATATAAGGATCAGTCGATTTATATTGAGAACATAAAAAGTCTGGCAAAAGACAAAAGCCACGATCCACGCTTCCTGTTGGTAAGGAGGGGGGCGTTTTATGGATCTTTAAGACAGTTACTAGCTTTAGGATAAATTCAGATATTTTTCCGATCCACGTCAGTCATTGCCTCCAACCATATCTGATATCAATTACTTGGAGGCGGATAAGACTATGTGTTTCAGGTCAATGGAAATGAAATGAAATGGGGTTTAATGTCCTGCTGTTCTGCTCCGAACTGGGCTAATGAAGACGGGCATACGCCATACAGAGTGCTATGAGGGAGATTTTGCCCGGACAGCTGCACTACGGCCTACTCTTATATCGAATTCAAACTGTCAATGGATCAATTACGTGCACGCCAATGTGTACACCGGACCTAGGTTTTTCGTCTCATCCGAGCTATACAGCTGTCCCTGTCCATTTTCACTTTTGGCGGTGTATCTCTTTGCGAGTGAAATGGGGCCGTCAGATAAGCAGCCCATATGAACTGTTTATGTTCATGTGTAGGCAATTGGCCTGTTATTAACATACACTGGTTACCTCTAATAATAACAACAGTGCATTTCCGTAGTTTTGTATTGTTTCTGAACATCCCCTCCTTTTTTTGAAGAGTATATATAGTGTAGATTCAAAGACTCCTCTCTGCATCTCTAATCAGCCGATTGGTATTTGCGTTTCTACATACCCGTTCCATTAATTAATTAACTCAGTATCTTTAAGGCGGATAAGACCACCATCCGCGCTTTGTGTGTTTGAGGTGGTGTAATTTTCTATAGATGTAGGTCGATGAAAGTATAATAGCTGTAAGATGCATATGAACAGCCCCGGGGAAAAACGATCTAAGTTACCATTTCAACGAACCCCGGTTGATGGCCCCATCTGGTAGCAAATTGTATAAGCTTTCTGTGGAACAAACTATTCCAGGTAAAAACGATTGGAGTCACATCGAACCAAGGCCCTTCTGAAATGGCCTCCCGGACAAATACAAGTCCATCGTACCCTTTATTTAACCTTAATTTGCCTGAAAAGTTGAAATCAGTTGTACAGGCAATTATGATTCGCATTAAACATCATTTTGAAGTTGTAATTAAACCCACTCGCGTCAAACATTCTCGTCCGAAAGTCTGTTTTGCCTTTTATGCGAAAAGACAAAACTGTGACTTAGATCGTTCTTCCCCATGGACTCTTCATATATTTATTGTGAATTTAAAAACGAAAACCGACTTTCATAACCCTCTCTGCTCTTCCTTTCTAACCTGCAAAGTGTCCGTTCCGTTTCTACATTAACATGATGAATTAGTTTAGTAATGTGTTTTTGCATTTAAATAAAATAGTCCCACAATGGAAACAAATTGCTAAACCATTAACACTTACCGTCTCTATGATCATTAACGCCATTGGAAGTAATTCAGGATTTTGCGAAGGCAGTCCGATTGACGCACAAATTTAAAGGCCCACATCCGATTCACTTTGAACAAATCATCACTTATTATTTCAACAAATTTACAAGCTTTAAAATGTGTAACACACAAAAAAAACCCACAATAGAAATACGAAGAAATGACAATCTAACTTGACACGCACACGACTAATAATTTCACTATAGAATGCAAACGCATGAAAATTTCACTGGAAATGCACACGAATCGTAATTTCATTAGAAACGGACACGAATCGTAATTTCATTAGAAACGCACACGCGTGATAAGTTCTCTGGGATGAAAATTTCACTGGGAATGCACACGAATCGTAATTTCGCTAGAAACGCACACGAATCGTAATTTCACTAGAAACGCACACGCATGATAATTTCTCTGGGATGACAATTTCACCAGAACTGTACGCGAATGATAATTTCACTAGAAATTTACACGAATGAAAATTTCATAAGTTTCACCTCGTATCTATGATAATCTAGGAAGTACCCATATACCCAATAATTGTTTTCTATTTTAAATTTAACAAAAAATAGGCGCTGAAAGGGTTTCTAAAAATAAAATTCTAGTTGACAAAATTTACGTTAGAAGCCATTTTGATGTCACTATTCATGGATACAAACCAGTTCTGTTCTAAGACAGAAAAGATGACCTCATCAATAAAGACCATAATGGGAAATTTAGATGGATATAACTTTCGATTAGATTGATCGATTTTAATAATTTTTGGATCTTTATATCTCTTGAATATTTCTTAATATGTATGGACCGAATGTCTTTATTGAGTTTAAATGCAATTTGATGTTTGGCGACGTTACCAAAGTGGATATGGGGCTTTAATTTTTAAGGACGTTGATTAGAGTTAAGCTGTGTTTAAGTGTACTTTACTCCATCGGTTTAGCTCTTCATCAACGTTCGGGATAATGACACTGACTTCCACGGTTGGTGTTGATGTCCGGGCAAAATTTCTCTCATAGCACAATGCATGGTGGTGCAGAAACGTAGGATGTTACCCCCCATTTTATTCCTATGGTCATCCTGTGAGTTAGGTTCACAGCGTAACCAGTAGGATGTTAAACTTCATTCAATCATTCATTCATTCATTCAGTTTCACGTATTCGTATGTGGGCACACACTGCTATGCGGCTAATGAGTTCAAGCACACTCTTCTGCCCCTGTAATGATCCATAATGTATAACACATAACATGGCGTATAGTTCACAATAGATAGGATGCCCCACCATAAATAAATATCTACAAATATCTTGACAATTACACCACAATATTTATATATATAACAAGCCTTAAATCAGTTTTGCACATTTATAGTCACTAAACCAACGGCCATGTTGTACTTAATAAGCTATGACCATTTAATCATTCATAAATAATAGACTGAAACATGGTTACGGGTGTCGGCCATAACATCCAGGCACTTTTGAATAAAAAATAGGTTACGTGCTCTTGTTTTGAAATTAGTCTCTCTTAACCAGTCTACTGATCATTCTCCGTCTGATTGACGGGTCGGGATAATCAAGACTACGTTTTTTTTTACAGAAAGCTGGAACAAGAAATTGAATTTAGAAACACGCACGTTAGGCAACTCAGCAATTGTTTTAAGAACCTTGTAAAAGTAAAATGAAACTACTGCCAGTATCATGTTCTTGCGTAACCCGAGTGTTTCAGAGATATTATTTGTACTAAACCAAAAGATGCCGCTCCTAACGGTATAGTTAATGATAAAACAATTTAAAAAAATAAAACGAACGTAATTTCTAAAGCTGCTGTAATAACCAAAAAGCTAAATATTACTGCTATTCATAATCGTCAATAATAGATGTTTTACGGCTGTAATAGTTGATAGATGTGTAGAGAATTGCACGTGTGATGGCTATTTATAGACTCATAAGAGTTTTATCGTACTGCGTGACTAGCCAGAAATCACTTCGAGACAAGCCACTGAAGCGTGCAACTTTCAGCAATTTTCGCTGCACGGGGCACCCTACAGTAGAGCCACTGTAAACCCTCCACCCGCTCCTACTGTTACGACATGTACGTTTCAAGACTATGATGTTTATTAGGATGATGTTCAAGCACCCTCTTCAGCATCTGACAGCTCTACTGTGTATAACACATGCGATGACGTTTGTCTTAAATCACACTTAATCCACTCCTCCGATTACACCATGTACGTGTTAAGACTATTATAAGTTATTAGAAACTGTAATACACAATATCGTTATCCCTATAATTAAAAACCTGTCAATACCTAATACCACATAAAGTCTAACGAGCTGCTTTTTTGCTATCTGAAGGATGTGAGAAATCAAAGGTGAACCGTTACAGTCATAAATCATTCTATGATTTCTTTTTCAGATTATCTCAGCTGTTGTCACCATGAAAGTGGAATGTATTGTGTTATTTTTCGGTCTTTGTCTTATGTCAGTTTTTGGTCAGTATTATGATAGAGATCAAGATTCCCCGGGGATTTTTCCTAGTCCATATTCTCAAAGATTGACTTTATCACGAGGTAAGCAGTTTATCTTTTAAAACTCAATAGACGTATAGAAAACTTAAACGTTCCTAAATGGCTTAATATTTGCAAACATGTGTATTATGATGAAGACTTGGCAAAAAAACCCCAAATAGAGTCTAGTTCTTTGGGTGGGACGGAAAAACACTGAGGTCCACCATTGTCCAATAACAGACATAATAAATAAACCAATTTTAACAACTAATGAAGCAGCGATACCGTCTTCCATCAGTATCCCAATATGAACCCCGCTGCATTATTATGCGACATTTAGCGCACTTCGCTAAAATGGGGATGGGTGGCTCAGTTGCAATTAGGGCACTACGCTACAAATTGGAATGGGGGGCTCAGTTGGAATTAGATTCACTGCGGAACCAGTTTGTTTTTTCTTTATAGATCTATCTCTCTTTCCCCGGATAGTCATAAAGTCAAACAAGCGTCTCGCGTAAAAATTAATTTAATCCTTTACGAATCGATCAAAGCAACGTTGTGACTAGCGATGAGAGAGAGAGAGAGAGGGAGAGAGAGAGAGTGTGTAGGTTATTGTGGGACTAACATATGATCCAATTTTATTTCAAAAATTCGCATGCGCGTAGGAGCCTTTAGCAGTAGGAGGAGACCGGAGACAGACTACATTTATGGACTACGCTGCAGGTGCATTCAGGTCACCCCAACCTTGACCATACCCATAATTCATGATAGACGAATAGCACCAAATTAAAAGATGCATTATGTAAGATTTAGTTAAAGAGCTGACCGTTCTTGCTACAATAGTTCAATAATAGATAATGAAAAATGAAAATATTAAAAATTTCATTCAAGTTATTTATTATCGTAGTAACGGTACAGGGCAAACGTGATTGTCTCGATTATCCAATTTATTGTTATTCTTTAAAATCACATGGGCGTTCTGATCCATTTAAATCTGTTATTCGATGATCTAGAGAGTTGATTACGGGCTTGTCATATTAATAAATGTCTAAATATTAGTTTATGCAACATTTGAAGCCAAAATAAAGACCTGTAATAGATAGATTCGGCTCTTACATAATGCATCTTTAAAAACAGAATTACTAAGATGAGGAGCATTAGATGTTTTATGGATTAATTTATGTGGAGTGTTTTGACAGCCGATAGCCTCTTCATAATGTGGACCATCATGGATTTCTGATAAGGAATTAGCCGATCTGACCATCAGTAATTGATGTATAGTTTTACGTCATCGTTGTTGCAACATTAAATTATATTTTATGGACTTGATTCAGAATAACGTCATATCGCTGATGAGGTTCAGACATTTTATAATGGAACCTTCCAGTAATATATTGCCAACAATTAGAGGGATGATTAGGGTAGACGAGATTATTTAGACATATTAGCGTAATAATTGTGGCCATGTGCAACCTTGTCGCTATGACTTTCATACGGAGAGTGGGGGCTTGGCCTTGGTTTACGAATTTGATCTCTCACTGAAGTTCAAGGGTGGGGGTGGTTCGTTGATCAGGCAAAGTACTAACCACATAGAAACGATATTTGAAAGACTAGCTTTCAGTCTGCCCTATATCAGTTTCATCTCTAGTCCGACCCTATACACAAGTCAGAAAAGTTACTAGAGTTATATTTTAGAAAGATCTCTACTAATGTCGGACCCCGCCCTTGTCACGCAGACCATATTCGTTTCTCCTACATTCACGAAACAATAACGTTTATATTCATCAAAAGTTTATATTATGGTAATGACTTTTGTGTGCCATCTGGACAGCCATGGGTGTTAATAGCCGACATAAGAATATTGTAATCAATTCTGCTTTCATGTGTCAAGATGGCACGATAACGTATCTATAACATCTGCAAATTGTGTAACATACCTTCCTTCCTTACGGAAAAGGTTACAAAATATTTTTTTAAGACCGTTACAAAATTAAATATAAATAGAGTCGACAATAACTACCCCGATTAAAATATAGACAACAACAAAAATTCAACACTGATTAAATGTCATATTATAATCAAAAGTCTTAAAAGAAAACCCCAGGAACAAAACACTGTTTAAACAGTTATATACACAAAGCACAGAGTTTGTTTTGTTTTTTCCACGATCAATACTCGTAACTTCTTTCTTTTTTTTACGCTCACTTGTACACAGCACAATTCTCAGAAACCCGTTTTTTTACGACCAATTTTTGTTTTCATAACACAATTCACACACGTGATTAAGAAATTATTTCCCTTTTTCTCTTCAGGACCTCGTCGTTGTGGTCAAGGGGGGGGGGGGTACAAATTCTTCACTTATTCTTCTTTTATTCCCATTTCTTCTTTTTTAATTCTGTATTTATGACAAAGGTCACAATAAGCATTCTTTGAGGCCATTATTTTTGTCGGGTAGTCTTTTCCATTTTCCATATCGTCTGGCCGAACGGTGTTTAATGACATGTGGTGCTATAAAAAATATTATAACTGCCACCCGTGCCCAAGTTTTATCATCAGCTTATTATATCATGGGGTGAAGTCAGTTTATAGTTAATCAAATTAGCAAGTCGAACAGACTTTAGATAACGACCTATATATTTACATTAGACTTTAGATAAACAAAATTGAAACTAGGATGTCATATTGTTTTACCTCAAGATAAAGAATAAGGAATGATCTGAACACATTTCACCGATCTTAAATAAGATATTTTTGAAAGAACTTATCCAAATTAACCAGCGGTTTATCTCTATTTATCCCCTAATCTAAGCGCGACCCTTCGGGGTATATAACCAATTCCTCTTTTAATAGGAATTCAAATAAATTTTTTCCTTTAATATCGGGGCATCCCAATCCCGTAATATTGGGGGCGGGGGGGGGGGGGGGGGTAACTGCGCTAAAGCTGCAATTTCATATTTTTAAGTTATATTTTTAAAATTTATTAAAATAAAGCCTTAAAATAAATAGTATCTTTAAAAAGTCCTACCTTGTAAAAGAATAAACCTATTAATCCAATAATTCACTATTGCCAATTGAGAAATTGGCAAAAATATCATTTTCAACTTTAAATTCAAACGTTTGAAGATAGCTATTCCATGGGGGGGGGGGTGTTAGAAAAACAAGGGAGGTAATTGTGTTATTATTTCAGGGGTCAAAGGATTTTTAAGAGGGAGAATAATAACTATAATCGTATAATAGTGAGTTGACAACCTATTGAGCAAAAGACATAGAAGAAATAATTATGTTTTGACTTTCTTAGAAAATATGAAATTATCGCTTTAAAACACAAATTAAAATCTCCCCGGTAAAATATCGGGGCATCCCAATCCCAAAATATTAAGTAACTACTTAAAACACAAATTAAAATCTCTGTCAATACCATAATATAAATTTATAGCTGGCCCGTTTATGTAATGTCCTTTGTCTTGTTAAGCAATCTGTACTGAACGTTTAATCAGGTATGATGCAATATAGCCAGCTGCATAATCTCTTCGACGACTTGAGAAAATTACGCTCGGTCTGATATTTTATTGACTTTAAGCCATTATTATATAACACATGGTCGCGATCTTCTGAATTCGGATATATTCCTAGCCGTTTACGATGTTTCGTGTAAAATAGTCCCGATAATTCAGGACTGTCAATCAGACGGATAACGGCCAGTAGACTGGTTTAACGCGGCCTTTTTCAGATCAAGAACACGTAACCAAGTTGTATACTTGAAAATGTCCGACTGGGGCGCGGAATTGTCATGTGCGATTGCAGTGTATTTTTGGGGTACTTTGAATGGGTAAAACGTATTAAATACAACGTGGCCGTTTATTCAGTGATGATACCTACGGGAAATTAAGGTAATTCTTGTTATATATATATATAAGAATAATGGTGACATAATTATCGATATGTTTGGAGATGACGTGTTTATCGTGGGGGGTCTCTTCTGGTGATGACAGTTAATAGACTATATAGTCCATATATAGCTGGATTCACTCCAACCGGAGTTGGGGTTTAACGTCCTACTTTTCTGCACCGATACAGTATAATTTAAACATTGTTTTTTTTTTCTTGTAGAACTCTAGATAAGATAAAACGTAAGCATCGATTTGACCTTTTTGAACTTTCCATAAGACCAAATGTAAACAATGGTTGGTCAAATGGAACTTTATTTAGGATAAAATATAAACAATGGTTGGCCTAATGGAACTTTAAATAGGATGACACGTTTGCAAAGTGATATGTTTACATTGCCTGGCCATTGGGAACTGTATGTATAGGGTACAATGTAACGTTGGTTTATCTAGTGCAACTTTAAGTAGGAAGACATGTAAACATTGCTTGTAACTTGTTAAAAACGTACCCATAACGTATTCAACGTACACCAGTATGTTTGTTAAATTTCTCATACGTCTCATACGCTGACGCTATACGTCAATGTGTGACAGCCCCATTACATTTAATTAACATTATCTGTTTGTAATGTTAAAATGCATTGCAACATTATGAAATATCCGCCTGGTATTTCACAAACGAGACCATGGGGAGGTGTTGAAATAGATGATTTAATTAGTGTGAAGAAACCAAAATCTTTACCATAGGTTAATTCATTTTAGAAACCGTTGATTTCTAAAAGACGGTTTGACTGATGAGGCCCTGGTGAAAACATGAACGTGTATCTAACATTTAATTCCCCAGTATATCAATCCGAATATGCCAACTTATTTTGACGTCTTCGTCAGCACCAGTTCAGGTCCTAGTGAAAACATAGACGTCTATCCAACCGAAATAATTCCCCAGAATTTCATTCCGAATATCTCAACTTATTTTGACGTCTTCGTCAACACCAGTTCAGGTCTTAGTGAAAACATGAACGTCTATCCAACATAAATAATTCCCCAGAATTTCATTCCGAATATCCCAACTTATTTTGACGTCTTCGTCAACACCAGTTCAGTTCACTCGCACTTTTGCTACAAGCCGTCTGTAATGAGGAACAACTAATATTACTATTAATATAGATACTACAGTGC